AGAAGGGACCCAAAGACAATCGAGAATGACATAGCAGCAAAAGACAAATCTGACCCAAAGCTGTTGTACGGCAACTTCAGGAGGAAAACAACAGTCAAGGACCAGGTAATCAAGCTAAGGAAGGAGGGGAGGTCACAAGAAATGACCACGAAGTATGTGAGGAGCTCAACATGAGATTCAAAGAAGTGTTCACAGAGGAGACAGAAGAACACCACTCACTTATTTATCCATACCTCACCTATGCTATTTGTGCTTGGGGATCAACTGCAGCAACACACCTAAAGCCAATAATAACCCAACAAAAAGCTGCAGTAAGAATAATCACTAAATCCCATCCCTGGCAACACCCCCCCCCACTCTTCATAGATCTAAACTTACTCTCTGTTCAGTACATCCACACTTACTACTGTGCAATCTACATCTACAGGGCCTTAAACTCTAATATCAACCTTGACCTAAAACGCTTTCTTGATAGTTGTGACAGAACCCACAGGCATAACACCAGACACAAACATCTCTACGACATTCCCCGTGTCCGACTAAACCTTTACAAAACTTCAATGTATGTCAAAGGCCCTAAAATCTGGAACACCCTACCTGAGAACTCTAGAACTGCAGACACATTCATCACCTTCAAAACTACCATTAGAAAACATCTTATCTCCCTGATACACCCCGTCAACTAACTACACGAATACCACCTGGTGGTTCACACTTACACTCACTCACCCATTTGACCATAAACAGAAATATTAATCTCAATCTTAAAATAATGAATCCTGTGATACTCCAATACTGAAACTATGTACTGTGCCAAAACAAAAGCATTCACATTGCTAAACTCACAAACTAGTATTTAGTCACTTAGCCATAATACCAACTTACCTCATAATTTGTAATATTTTAAAATTAAGAATTAAACTAAGTCTGCCCGAAATGCCAGCCATGCTAGGTGTTCTAGTGGTACACTCTGTAATCATTATTTTACTACATGTAAACCACACAATAACCAAATTCTGTAAACTCAGCATTGTAATCCTTATAGAGAATAAACTTTGAATTGAATTGAAAAAAAAAAGTGTTGGACACAATACATACAACCGAGGAAGAAGTGAAGAGGCTGCTAAGCGAGCTAGATACGTTAAAACGCGATGGGGCCGGATAACATCTCTCCATGGGTCCTCAGAGAGGGACCAGAGGCGCTATGTGTACCACTAACAACAGTCTTCAATATATCCATCGAAACAGGGCGACTACCTGAAGTATGGTAGACAGTAAATGTAGTCCCACTTTTTGAAAAAGGAGACAAACATGAAGCATTCAACTACGGACCAGTGTCGCTGACATGTATGGTATGCAAGGTCATGGAGAAGATTATCAAGAGAAGAGTGGCAGAGCATCTAGAAAGGAATGACCTTATCAACGACAGCCAGTACGGTTTCAGGGACGGGAAATCCTGCATCACAAACCTACTGGAGTTCTGTAACAGGGTGACGGCAGTAAGACAAGAGAGAGACAGGATTGTAAGAAGGCGTTTGATACAGTTTCACACGAGAGATTAGTGCAAAAGCTGGAGGACCAGACAGGGATAACAAGGAAGGCATTACAATGGATCCCGGGAATACCTGTCAGGAAGACAACACAGCGGCATGGTAGTGCAGAGGACGTGGGCGGCCTGTAACGAGCGGGATGAAAGAGGATCAGTCCTAGGACTGGTGCTGTTTTGATATTTGTGAAGACATTGACGGAAGGAATAGACTCCTAGTGGTCCCTGTTTGCAGATGGTGTGGAAGCTGATGAGAAGGAATTCAATCTGACGGGGACCAGGCAGAACTACAAAGGGATTTGGACAGGCTGCAGGTCTGGTCCAGCAACTGGCTCCTGGAGTTCAACCCCACCCAGTGCAAAGGTCATGAGATTGGGGAAGGGTAAAGAAAGACCACAGACGGAGTACCAGTTAGGGGCTGAAACTACAAACCCACTCAAGGAAAAAGGAGCTAGGAGTGAGTATAACACCCGGGCACAATCTCCTGAGGCGACAATAACAAATAACTGCTGCAGCATACGGGGCGCCTGGCAAAACCCGATATCTAATAAGAAATCATTCAGGACCATGTACTCTGTGTACGTTAGGGCCCATAGTGGAGTATGCAGCGCCAAGTATGGAACCCACACCTAGCTAAGCATGTAAGGAAACTAGAGAAACTGCAATGGTTTGCAACAAAACTAGTCCGGAGCTAAGGGGGTGTATGTTCTACGAGGAGAGGTTAAGGGGAAATCAACTTGACGACACTGGAAGACATGAGAAATAGGGGAGGATATGATAACATATAAAATAGTGAGAGGAATCGACACGGTGGACAGAGACAGGATGTTCCAGAGATGGGACACAGCAACAAGGGGTCACAGTTGGAAGTTGATTACTTAGATGACTCACAGGGATGTTAGGAAATATTTCTTCAGTTACAGAGTTGTCAGGAAGTGGAATAATCTGGGAAGTGATGTAGTGAAGGCAGGATCCATACATAGCTTTAAGAAGAGGTATGGTAAAGCTCACGGAGCAAAAAGAGTGACCGAGTAACGGCCAGTAAAGAGGCGGGGCCAGGAGCTGTGAATCGACCCCTGCAACCACAAATAGGTGAATACAACTAGGCGAGTACACACACAGTGGAATGTAAATAGCCAGGGCTTCGGCTAGGCTACAAATACTTCTGAGAGTTTGTACCACCAGTCGATGTAGACCTAACTAAATGAAATCTTTGTCAGCAGAAGTGTTCCCATACTATTATTTACTTGAATGTGAAATGCACATGATTTTAGATATACTAGGGACAAGCAACTTTGAATCAACAACGCCAGGTGACTGAAGGTGAAGAGGCGGGACCAGGAACTGAAAACTGACTCCATTTTGCTGAGTACACGCACACATACCAGACGGAACCCAGGAGCTGGTGGTTAGCCCCACAAACACGCCCCGGTGAATGCAAGATGCTGAACATATGTACACAAACACACGACTGGATGAGTACAAGGTGTTAAGCACAATTACACAAACACCCAGATGAGTACAAGATGTTGAGTACACGTCACAAACACCCAGATGAGTACAAGATGTTGAGTACAAGTACACAAACACCCAGATGAGTACAAGATGTTGAGTACACGTACACAAACACCAGTGAGTACAAGATGTTGAGTACACGTACACAA